CCTCCCTGGCCAGGCTCTCCTCATTATTTCCAGTCCTGGAGCTGGTCGGGGGAAAAAGTGCTGGGAAGTGGGGACTATGCCCTCTGCATCCCTTTCTGAGGACCAGGGAGGAGGGATCCAAAGGGGACACCTCCCCAGGTCACCTTGCAGATGCCAGGTAAGCCATGTCCCAGCAGCAGTTCAGGATGGAGATATCAGTGAAGGGCTGACAGCAGCTTAACAGGGACTAGCTGAAGGAGCAAAGAAGTCTCTCATGTAGCTGCTGGCTAAGGGGTTTACAGCCCCAGTGTGGCTATTTCCCCCTCTCTGGGACACGAGGAAGTTCCTGCTGGGGGTGGCTGTAGGGCTGCTCGCTGTGCCCACCATCCTGTCTGCCTTCTGCCATCCACTCTGCTGGGATCACCCCCCTGGCCAGCTCCACGTAGATGCCATTCTCATGGAGGATGGAGGGATGCTGCAAGGAACCAGGGACAGAGTGAGTCCCTCTGCAGGCACTGGGGCCACTGGGCATCACCAGCCGGGAAGGAGGTGGTGTAAGGGCTCCGTCCCACAGCCCTGGAGCTGCTCCCTCCTCACCATGGTGATGTAGGTCTCCTCAGCTCTCCTCTTCTTCCCTGCATCCTGATCGGCCTTAGGCACCTCAGATTCAGGGATCGAAGAGTAAAGCCCTTCCTATGGAGGAGGATGGGGGGAGGGGGGAGAACAGGACAATTGGAACCAAGCAGCAAACAGGCAGGTAAGGCAGTACAACAGCCATGGCACCTCGTGCTTAGCCAGCCTGCCAGTCCCAGGAGCTCCCACCTTGGCTTTGTCCTTGCTGCCATCATTTCCAGCTCTCTCCAGGGCCGTGGTGGCTGCAGACCTTGAGGGAAAGCAACAGAGGCGTCACGTCCAGTGGGAAGCATCACCTGCTCCTCCCACCCCCGAATCCCACTGCTGAGACCCTTCAGATGCCCCTTGGCAGTCGCCTGGTGACGGCGCCCACCGAGGTGCTGGTGGAGCCCATGGCGCTTTGCTTCTGTCCCGCAGTGCCCACCACCTCCCTTGACCCAGAGGGGTGCAGCCATGCAGGCAGCGGGGAGCCCAGCCGCTTTGGGAGGAAGGGCGGAGTGACACTAGAGGGCAGCAGGAGCAGCGCTGAGTGTCTGCTCCGCTTCCCGCATCTGCATCCTGCTTGGAGCGGCTCGACGGGGGGATGCTCAGCTCAATAAACCCGAAGCGAGCGTTGGTACCTCTTCCTCAGGTTGAGTCCTGCCAGGAAAGCCAGCACCACGGCCACGGCGCTGCAGCACACGGTCACAGCCCAAACTCCAGTGCGCCCCAGGACTTGGGTGCTTTCTGCTCCTCTATCTGCAGGGAGACACCAAGGCGGCGGCTGCAACCCACAGGGACACCAGCACTGCTGCAGAGCCGTGCTGGTAGGTATGGAAACCCCTTTGTGAGCAGTTGGATGGGGTGACAAGTGAGGGGAGCTGCTGGGGCACACACCTCTCTGTGTTGCAGGGCTGACACGCAGCATCGTGTGGTTCTTGAAGATGCTGCCGTGCTGAAACAGACGGATCTCACACGTGTACCTGCCACTGTCATTCACCTGCACGTCCTGCAGCTGGATAGAGCCATCCCAGCACGAGACGTCCCCCTGCCACCGCACCCGGTCTTGGAAACGGCCCACAGGGACGCTAGAGTTGCTGTAGTAATAAAATACCATCTCCTCCTGTCCGGGCACAGAGCGGCTGGTGAGAGGAGCCCAGCAAGCTGAGCACTGCAGCCTCTCCCCCCACACACACAGCCAGCACCATGCACAGAGCCCAGCTTACTCCCTCCTGCATGTGCACCCCTGGAAAGCCACAGAACACAGTGCTGAATGCCACAGCACGGGGCACACAGGTGGGGAGCAATCCTCCTGCAGTGCTCCAAGAGCAGCGGGGCTGCCTGACTCTCCCTCCCATTGCCCACCCCCCGGTTCTGACCCACCTTCTGTTTGCCAGCCACTGGCACACGCAGCCAGTCCACTTTGGTCACCGTCCAGCCCGTGGCCTCTGGGTCTTGGAAGAGGCAGCGCAGCAGGACGGAATCCCCAGCACTAGCATGGAGCCAGGGCTCTGTGAACACCCATCCAGTCAAGCTGCTGCTCCTCCCTGCCAGGCACAAGGACAGCAGGATGAGGCTGGCCGAGTGCAGCCTGCCTGTCCCCATAGATGTCTCCTCTCTGGATGAGCCTAAAGGCGCCGAGCAGTCCGGGGAGCGGCGGGGAGGCCCTGCAGACAAAGCCTCTCCCTGAGCCCTGCTTTCGGCAAGCCGGGGATGCGAGGCAGCACATCCTCCTGGGCGCCAGACACCGAGGGCTGCTGCACTCACTGAAAAAGCCGCATGGAAGGGGAGTGGGGAAGACACCTGGGGCCTCAGCGCTCAGCCCTCTGTGTCTCAGGGCTGAAGGCTGCAGCTCCTGCACTGTGGCTCGTGTGAGTCACGGGCTGGGAGGACCAGTGTCATTCATTTGCAGCTGGCCAGAGGCAACTCGGCCCCTGTGCATCAGTCTCGGTTCCTCCTTTCACAACCTGCCCATCTGGCTTCCTGTCCGCTTGCTCACAGGCTCCTGGCTGAGCTCGGACGTGTCCAACCACATAACCACCTCTGCGGGTTTCTCGAGAAGTGGAGCAGTGCAAAACAAAGCCAAAACAAACAGGGGAGGTGAAAACACGGAGCTGACCAAGACCAGCACTGCTGCCATAGGGGGCCACAAAGCACAGAACGGGAGACACGCAGGGCAGAGAACACCCCTGAGGTTTCTCCAGATAAAGCCTCCATCTCCTGAAATCTGTGAGACCAAAATGGCAAAGAGAGGCACCTGCTTGGCTGAAAGGCAGCACAGAGCAGAGCCATGGGGAGCAGCACAGCACGGAAGCACTGCCAACTGCAAGGAACGGAGAGAAGCATCAACAGATCGTAGCCAGGAGAATGGAGTGCCCAGCACTGCGTGTCAGGGCCAGGTGAGCTGATTCAGAGCGAGCTGCTTGGGCAGGGACATTTTTCCCAGCACTTGAGCTGCCCTGCTCAGCCCTTCCACAACTACCAAGGGCTGGGCCCTGGCAAGGCACCAAGCACTTGTCTGATGCCCTGTAAGTAATGAATGCAAAGTGCTACAGCTTCCCAAACAGGTTTCTTTTGGGCTTGACCAGCTGTGGAGGCAAACACGAAGAGTATGTCAGCTGAGGAGACCAAGGAGGCCAGTTGCCTTAAGCAGAGCCAAAAATCAATAGCTTGGAAGCCTTACCCTGTGTTTAGTTGTGGTAAAGCTTTTCTACATCTTCCAAAGCCTTGGAGCCTGGTACAGTAAGTACAGGCCTCCAACAGGATGCTGTGACAATTCCAAGCCTATGTGTGTGCAGGAAGGGATCATGCAGCACACAGATGCTAGAGGAGTTACTGGCATTCTCAACACTCCCAGCCCTGCGTGCCTACAAGCCTCCGAGTGGCTCTCACAGCAGAAAAGAGAAAGCAAAGGGTCTTCTGCTAAAGGCAAGGATAAAGGCACCAGAAAGACTTACAGCTTACCCAGTAATGTCAGCACCAGAGCCAGGCCCAGCAGCACCTTCATCTTCTCTCAAAGAGAACAGCAGAGGTAACGCGTGCGGGACACCAACTGCTTGCAGCTGCACCCCAAGGCCTGCAGAAGGTTTCCTCCAGTCCTTCGGGGAGGGATGTGATCTCTGGTGGATGTTTGCCTTCTCAAAGTTAGCCCTATCCCTGCTGGGAACCTACAACTCAGTGAAGCACAGCTGTCACACGTGTCTCTGGTTTGAGACCGCTCTGAGCCCTGGAAAGGAAGAGTGAAAGATGGGGGGAGGGCTCAGCCTGAACATCTCTGCATTTCCCCTTAACCAATACAGCTTTCTGGTGGTTTGGGGGGTTGACTCCGTGCTGCCAAAATTGAGACATTCACAAACATTCACTGCTTAGAAAACAATGGGATATTTTTTTTTTCCTGTAAACTTGGGGAAGTTCAGATACAGATTCTAAAATCACATTTTCCTAGAGATAACCTCCTTGCTTCAGAACACCACACATGTTGAAAGCTTGTGCTGGAGCCTTTTGGGTCTGCCCAGGCAGTGCTGAGGTTGGTCACTGTGCTGTTTGTCCTGCTGCACATCTCCCAGTACCACTGATGGCCCCTTTCCCCAAGGCACAGACATGCCACAACCCAAGGAAGAACTGACTGCCACGGGCAGGGATGTGCTGCCAGTGTTCACACAGATCACAGGAAGGCAAGCAGTACCAGTTAACAGCATTCATTTTTCAATACAGGCATTTTTGCTGTAGGAATAAATGAAACAAGAAATGAATCATATCCAAGTCTCATTAATTTCTCTCATTTTTCCTCCACTGTGAAAATCAGAGGCCCTCTGGATCAGCTTCAGCAAACCCTGAGATAGATGAAGTACCAGAGATACACTCCCAGCAGCAGCCCCAGGAGAGGTGATAAATATGTAAGGTGAATATCTGACACTGTGCCTGTGCTGCCATCCCATTCCGTGCAGCACCACAGGGCAGAAAACCACAGCTTTGGGGTCTGTTCTAGACTGCGAAACAGTCCCAAAGGCTTTTCAGGCAGAGCACGGCCTCACTGCTCACGGCTGCTGATGCAAAACCACTCTGCTTTTCCCTGCCCTCCCATCCCATAAGCAAAATCCTGAAAAAGCAGCAAGCCTTCCATGACTCTCTCAAATCTGCCTCTCAAAAACCAAAATCTGTTTGGGGGATGGGCTTTGTGGAGGTGGAGGGGAGAGAGCTGTGGTTTGGGTATGCTCTTCTTTGCATGTCTGCTGTGACAGTCTGCAGCGCAACTCACGCTTGTGCATGCATGACCTACAAACAACAAAATTCACACTCAGCTCCAAAGATGCGTTGGTGCAGCATATCTCAGCTCAGCAGGCCAAAGCATCCTGCTACCTCACCTTGCTTTACTTCAGCTGCGCTGCCTTACAACACAGCTGGAGCTACACATTCTCAGGGCCGTCCTCATCACAGAGTGAAAACAGGACTTGGCTTAATAAAGGCCCTCAGCACACAGAAGCCTGCACAGAGGAGCATCAGCGTTCAGAACTTTGAAATTCCTCTTGCTGAGACTCTGCTCCTTGTTCACCAAGTTCTTCCTAGACTTCTTACCCTACTCCTGAAAATATTTTCCGGTTCCACCCCAGAACTGCAGGGGCTCCTTTCCCAACTCACTCACCAGGCTGCTCCATCTCACAGTGCTGACACACACAGCCCCTTCCAAAGCCTCACACAGCCACTTTCTTCAACCCACGTGGAAAAGGACAAGAAAAATCCCCACGGATAGCACACTGCCCACTTTTGGATATCACGGATGCCACTGTCCCCACTTTTGGGCATGGGAATCTTCATTCCAAGCACTTCTATGTTTCAGTAGTTTTCTTCTCATGAAGGAAAAAAAAAACTCCAAACATCAAAATAAATGTTCATAGCAAAAATAAAAATACTCACCCAGCGCGGTTTGTGGCAGTCTACTTTTTTATCTTGTGCATAGAGCTGTGCAGTGACTGATTTGGAGTCTCTGAATTAATCACACTGAGCTGCCCGAGGCTGTGCGTGAGATGCTTAGAACACAGCAGCTCTTTGTTTCAGGTCTCTTACTTAAGGTTTGGTGGTCACTCTTTGCTTTTAAGAGGAAGTTGAGGACTTGTAAGAGGAAGACTGAGAGTACTGACAAGTCAGAAGGGACTGTTACAGATAGGCAAGAAGAATTAGATGGAACGCAGCTTCAAAAACCACTCTAGATAAGAGATCTGCCCGAGCCCCACTGCTTCCAGCACAGCAGACTGAGCCATCAGTCGTTATGTAAGATTTGGCCCTGCCACAGTTTGCAAAGCAGTCGCAGCAGAAGGTGAACATTCTGTGGAAAACAAAAGCTATTAATTTCCATAAAGAAGAGTGATGCATTCTAGCTGAAAGTGGAACAACAAAGCCACTTCCTCCAAGTTGCAAATCCCAACATCCTTTCTCAGGATAGTTTTTTTGGTAGAAACAGTGAGCCATCACAAAGCACCATTTTTTAAATGTTACTTTGCTGCAGATGGGAGGAAAGAAAACTATCTGGAGACACAGATCTACAGCTGACTTGCACTGCGGTCAGAACTCCTACATACCTCTGATTAACAGCCACCACCAGGCTTCTGAAGGGAGACTTTGGGAGGCACCTTTTCCCAACATCACAATCTCTTTCACCAAGTCAGGATGGCAGTTTTGTGAGTTCAGTACATGCACCTACACGTGGCCAAATAAAGAAATCCACAGCCTTGACTGAAGCATTGCAATTTATTGGTAACAGTGCAAAGTAGGCAGTAAACATGAACCACATACATGGAAGGAGACCATTCAACCAATGCCATGTACCAAAATAAGGCAGAGAACAGCAGCTCCTCAGCTATTAGAGAATTCCCCTGCTCCCTGTAATCCATTATTGAACAAGGCTGGTGAGAGAAGGTGCTCTCAATCTTACAAGACAGCAATGAAAAATTTCACCCTTTCCCAAAAATTCACTGTTTCCCTGAAAGAGAGGAGGAAGACGATTGTTCTTCTGAACACAGAACATCCCTTTGGCCAAGGCCTTGAGTCAGTGGTTGAGGTAGATGGGGTTGTGTTTCCCCAGACATAGAGTCCCCATTCGCATTTCTGATTTATAGAACAGGCTGTATGTGAATTGTGCTTCGTGTCAGTAGATGAACCCAGTAATGCAGCTGTTGGACAGATAAAAATCAAAGTAAGGTAACACTGCTGCGCAGTTGAATCAGAAAACAGGAGGAATAAAATGATGATCCTGTAATTAAGTGGCAACTCAAGCAAGGAAACAAAAAACAGTAGGTTCTGTTTGCTTTGAGACAAAGGATGCATGTAACAACAAATCAGACTGCTCTAAGTCCTTAGCAAAAACTGAGAATGTGTTGTCAGTGCCCAATGACGACTGCTTGGGGAGCCCAGGTGTCACCCTGGAGTACCCTGTTCTTCAGAGTGGAGAACTTCTCAAGTGGAGTTCAAGGACACAGGAAAGGAGGGATATCATCAACCTTAAAGGAAACATTACCAAGAAAAGTAAGAAAAGAGCACTGTCAAGCTGCTGGTAGGAAACAGCCCATCCAGCTGCAGGCACTGAGGTTCCTGTAGGCACTGAAGTAGGGAGGTTCTGGAGTTTCTTTTTTTTTTCCCCGCTCCCTCAATAAATTGTGGAGATTTCAAAAATCATTATATTGTGCTTAGAAGTGAACTATCCAAGCACTGTTGTTCCAGTATACCAAGATGAGAGCAGCTCTTCCAATATGTGCTGTTATCCAGCAGCCTTTGTACTCATCTAGTCAGCATTTTCAGTGTTGTGATTCTGCTCATTATCCATACTTGTGATCATTCATCAGTACGGCTCTTCCTCATCTGTGTCCTAAGCAGGGGGAATGGAGAGAGAAATTAAGACTGCGTACCCAGACATCAGTTTGATACAAATTTGAGTCTGCTAGGCTTCAGGCAAGAGCTTGAATATTTCCCAGACCGCTGGCGTGGTTGAGTAAGTCTCAGAACTTGTGGCTGTACAAACTTGCAGCTGAATGGATTGGATTGTCACAAGCACAGGTGAACTGCCCCTGCTCAACTAACACGTGAAACGTATTTTAAATTCAGCAGCAGATTAAACTTAAGCAAAAGAAAAACAAAGTGTAGAAAGACATCAACTCAACAGGCTCCCAGCCCCCTGCGCTGGGGATCCAAAGCAGCACAGACTGCTGTGTTTTTCAGCTATGACCAACCACAAACTTTCAGATCCCCATCTACCATTTACCACAGTAATCCCTCCTTGGCATCTTCACAGCCCAGCTCTGCTGCCCTCATGTGTAGAAAACAGCAAGGAGTAAAAGCACAACCAAATTAGACTGAAGTCTCTGAAATCCAGAGAGGTCATGTTCTTGCACCTCCTCTCAGTACTGATATTGAGAAAGTAAGTGGTAAAGGCATCAACTTTCACTTACCACACAGTTCAAACAGCAGGTTTTGAGTCTGCCCATGCAGCTCTCTGTATATTCGGACCTGGAGAGCAACAAGCACAGGATGAGGCTGGACTTTCCACCACCAAACAAACTATCTTTCTTCTATTGACTACGATTGCTACTACTATCAGTGAATCTCAAGGCTTTTCATCTCTTTGACTTCATAGAAAGCCCAAAAAGAATAGAGAGTGTCAGGTTTCTTATTTCAAAAGGCAGCTATTTCATTTAACAAGAGCTGCCACTTAGGAGGAACAATCTACAAGAATAAGCAGAGTGTTGTATTAAAATACCAGTAATACAACTGAGCAGAGTGAGTCCTCTGCAAAAACAGGTGCAACTCCAGCAGCTGCAGGGCTGCTTTCGTGCTTTTACTGCAGTACCACACCAAACACTCCCAGCACAGAGTCCTCTCCCATTTAGAAGGGAATCTGGCCTTCAGGAGCTGTTCAACACTCGGCAGCTCTGGTCAGACCATCACTGGGGCAGTTAGCATTATTCAGTTTGTGTTGGTTACATACAAACAAAACTAAGCCCATGTCAGCAAAACATTTTGCCGACTTAAGCTGAAATAAGTTTAGGTAGGGAAGTGAAAGACTGTCTAACCCTAAACTGCTTCACTTCCATGGCCTCACACCACAGCCAGGAAAAGAGATGCAAAGCATTTATGCTTCAAAACTGAGTTTTCCCCAAAGAGTTTCTGCTCACTAGCTAAATCATGCTCATACAATGATTGAACTGCAGATGCTGAGAGCTATGCAACGAAGAACAGCAGAGAAACAATGGCCAGTGTCTAGAAGCCAAGGAAGAACAAGCTTTAGGTTCCAGACAGAACTTACTCAGATTCTTCAACAGAGGATTTCTTGCAGCCAGGTTTTTTCTTCTCTTTTATCAGTCCAGATTTCCTTCCCATCCTCACCAACATCAGAACAACCACAACAGTGGAAGGGATGAACACTACAATGGACAGCAGCGTCACTGAAGTCAGCTGGAAAGAAAAGCCTGCAGGATCGACAAGAACAGCCCCATGGTAACGAGTTCAACATGGCTTCCTTACAGCTCTGTGAAAAACATGCTTCCAGGACAGACTGATCTCCTTTTTACACACAGCACAGGGCCAGCAGTTTTGAAACAGCTTGTTGCTGAATCTGTAGGACTTCTAGCACATATCCAGCACAGTAGGATGCTTTATGTGCAAAAAATGACAAAGTAAGGCAGGTCATGATGTAACTTCATCAGCCTGTGCAAGCTACACATTCGGGGCAGTTCTCACATGTAAGGCAGATGATGAAATTAAGTATGACTAGAAGTCAGCGTTTGTGGTCTGACCAGAATTTCCCCTATAACTACTGCAATATTTGAAGACTGGAATTCCTTTTACTTTCTGTTATCACCACTGCCTTTTTCCATCTCTGTCTCCAGTAAATTCAGTGGTTCTCAGTGTGTTCAGCAATGAAAGCACAGCAGCTGAGGTAGCTCTTGCTGAAAATCTTACAGGGAACTCTTGGGATCAACTGCACATGCAATGCTCAGATTGTTATGGTTCAGACAGAGCCACAGTGCAGCTGTATCACACAGGTGAGAGAATGTTGACTGAAAAAAGGCTTACCCCTCTCTGTCACAATCAGCACGGTCTGGGGAATGTTATGGTATACATCTGGAGGGTTCTTCACACTGCAGATGAACGTCCCGTTGTCACTCACAGATGGACTTTCGATAGCAATGGAAGCATCACCCTTAACAGCGTTCCCAAGCCAGGATATCCTGTCTTTGAACCTTCCCACCGATGGTGGGTATGCAACAGACTGATAGTGAAAAACCTGAAAGGAGGGAAAAGCAATAGTTGCTCTAATAAAACAGTCCACTAAGAAAACAAAGTCAAGCACTTCTTGGATTGTAAATGAAGAAATATGGATTAACAAGTCAGAAAGAGCAACGCTCATACAGGAGAGCTCTCTAAGTTCCTATTTGTTGATTTTGAACCAGCTGCATTTCACTGTATCTTCAAAGCTTCTATCTTGCAGCCTTGGCACTCGTATGTGTCACTATCACCTTCCGACCAGGTTGTTCCCCTCCATAGATCTGCAGCTAAGAAGTAGAGCACGTCCCTTCTCTCACACAAGAGAGCATCACAGTTCTTCAGAATACGCTTTCTGTGCTTTTGCACTTACTGTTCTATCTGTAAAGACTTAGCAGACCTCATTTCATACAGGCAGCGTCCTTTTATTCCAGATGTGAAAACATTATGAAGAGTTCGAACTCTACAGGAAGCATTGATTGCTAATTAACTGTAAAGATAAACATTTTCAGTTTCTGCCTTGAATGAGAGACTTCCAGCAGGTGTTCAGATTTCTATATTTATACTTAGATTTCAAAGGGCTACCACCAAGATAAAGCAGCAACCCGTAAACCTCAGAGACAGACTGAAGACAGTGATGCCTA